ATGGAGGAAGCACATTGCTTGAAACATGCAAGATGTTGCTTATACTGAATGTTTTGAGAGTGAAATTTGAGGGAAATCTTAGTGCTGGGGTTAAGTTAGTCATTTAAATATGATCGTTAGCCTTCTTCTCTCCCACAGCACTGATTCTATCCCTCCTTCTTCTAATGCTGTTTTGGTGGCCATGACTTGGCATGTCATGCCTTCGTCTGCATCCCACTTTATCAGCTCTCTTCTCTCACCACCACTTAATTTGGTTCTCCATCTGTCACAGCTTCATGGGCTGCTATCGATCTACTGCCTGCCTTTAAATGCGCTATCTGTGTCTACTGACTTTATCGTTGTATATTTATTTTGTATCTACCGTATACAATAGGCTAAATATTGTATAAATTAATATATGAATGTTATATGAATGTTACACACATATATATATATATATATATATATATAAGTATGAACGGTCTAATATCTAATGGAGCTTAAGAGCCATTTAAAATTTTGTATATTTGAAAAATATTTCAAATAGAACCCAATCAAACAATTGAGACACAAATACATACTTTGTCTTACTTACATCTGTGAGTGCCAAAAGAATGTGATTCTCTAGGAGATTCACTTATGATTTCTCGTATGCTCGTCTCTTAGTACTGTACATATTGAATTCTTCTGCACATATCACTCTATCTGCTGCATAAACAAACAGTAGGGTGAAGAGTCTGAGACTGAAAAACTGTTTGTTTGCTTTGTTTCATTGGAACTTTGGAATAAACAGAGTAGAACACAGCACAAAAGTGCACATTTATGCACTTTTTCTAGGTCACTAATATAAAATAAGCACATTTTTGGCTATGGTCATGTGAACTAATTTGTGCAGAAGCACAAGATGCTCTTTGGAGCATCTCAAATCATCCTGAACAAACTTGGAGAGTTCATACAGCTTTAAAGAAAAATAAAATAAATAAAATAAAATACAAAATGAACAAAACAAACCAAATACTAAAATATTATTTAAAATCTTTAAAAGTCTCTACAATTAATCCAGAATGCGGCTGCAAGATTAGTCTTTTAACAAGCCGAAAAGAGTGCATGTCACACCTCTGATTATCAATTTGCACTGGCTACCAATAGCTGCTCGCATAAAATTCAAGGCATTATTGTTTGCCTACAAAACAACATTTGACCCTCACTTGCACTCTCTATATTTTTATTCTAACTACTTGTTTTCTTTTTATTTATTATAAAAAATTACCCTCTAACACTAGCATTCTCTATTCTTTTTCTATTCTTTAGACTTCTATTCTTTGGAGAACCAAGCCACTGGTCACCCCCTCATCTTTTCTTTTGAATTATTATATAAAAAACCCATGCGCACTGCATTAGGCTAACTGAGACTTGTCACGGCACTCACATATTATTGCTCTTTTGTTGATTTTGATTGCTTCTATTGTCCTCATTTTTAAGTTGCTTTGGATAAAAGCATCTGCTAAATGACAATGTAAATATAAATCTGAAAAAATATATACAGTATATATACATTTTTCATTTATTTTAATTTCAACTTGTGAATTGTTATGCATATAATGCATAGTTACATTTCAAAATACTTTTGTACCCCTACATATACACATATATACTGCATATTTCAATACTTCTTATTTAGTGAAACGCCATTGTACTCTATAGTTCACTTCTCCTCTTGGTCTATTTTTTTACCACTTCACTTCTGCTTTTCACTTTTTGTACCCATAGTCCTCTGATTCTGCCTGTCCTGGTTTCCTTTAATCTCTGTGTTCATGAAGAAGACCCTATTGGAGAAGGCCTCAATAAATGATAGCTGCTCTGGACTCTCTTTCTTTGGCACCGCAGGCCACCTCAATTTATAGTGCAGAAACATTGCCTGTTCAGGAGTTATCAAATTCAACGGTTTAAAATAAAACACATGAGCTTTGTACTAGCTCTGTATATAGTTACAAATTTCATACCTGAATTTGACAAACAAAAGTCAAAATGAACACTGAACAGCTGCACAGACAGCTATTCACACATTTCAAAAGAAAAGATTAGAACTTTTAGATTGCAAAAGTGTGACCACATGGTTACTGACTATTAACCTGTTGCTGCATTCAGGTCATGAATTATTCATCTTTTAATATGGATGTGTTCTGTAATACCAGATTGGCATCTATTTGTGCTACAGTAGCTGCACATGCTACCATAAAAATAAACACAGAAATAAATAACGGATGGGTGAAAATTTGCATAATTCTTAGTTCAAGGTTAACTCGACAGCTCTCAGTGATTTCCACCAGCACTGAAGCACAACTCCTATTATTTCTAGTCAGATTGGTTGTGTAGTTGTATATGTATGATGCATGTTTTCATTGCCTCAGAGCTGAACACGGATGCTGGGTTTTGGACTCAAGGGCCAGTCGAGAGCCCATCAGCAGACAGCGTCTTTGGTTACATGGCAACAGGGAAAGCTGGTGACCTAAATACAAGACCAGCCACATCAAGAAATGTAGGACGAAAACACAGCAACAAAAGATGAGCATTCATTTATGTCTTTAAATATGGGTATAAAGGGTCAGCTGTGAAACCCAGCATGTCTCTATAAAATATGAATGATAGAAGTCCAGCTTGTCTCAACACACAAGCCAAAGCTTTTCTAGTTCTCCTTACAACAAGTTGCCTTGGTAAACTAGACAACAGAGAATAATCTACAATCAACAAGTATGATATAGCCCAAATTAGAAATAATAAATAGACCATAACTGCACCAAAACAGGATGTACTCTCTTCAGTTTTGATTCTAACAAGAATAGTCACCATGAAAACTGTTCGTGACATAGACTGGATACCATACAGCCTTGTGGGTGGGTTTTTGTGGGAAACAGCAAGGACATTTCATTCTACCTTCTCACAAAGTCTTAACCATCATAATTCTGACCAGCTACAATAGACGAGCTACATCAGACTCATTTGACACATGTTAACTATGGCTTTTTGGGTCTGAAAGACTGAAAGTTATCTTATTCTTTGAAATATTATTTGAGGGAGACTGTGGCAAACTCAAGATTTTTATCAAATTCGAATGACAGATCTTTTCTACTTTCTTTTATCCCTATATTACAACATTTGATTCGATACAATAATGGGGACACTGTGTTTTTCTTGCTGAAAAACAGACATGAGCAGGATAAATTGCGAGCTCTTAAGATGTCATCTATTTTTAGCCCCTGAAGAGTGCTTGTACCGTATAATAAGGACACAATGTTTTTTTTCTTTGGTGTGTAAACTGCTCAGTGGAAAAATAATAAGAAGGAGGTGTTCACTGAAAACAACACAGAGCACAGTAATATGATGAACTGGTCTTTCCTGCTGCTCATATTTTGTTTGGAGACTTTCTGAAACTTTGTTCCTCTGCATTTTCTACTGTGAGCCTTTACTCGGAGGACCAGCATATTGTTTTTCTATCTACTGTATTTATACTGAGCTAATGATATTTTGATAATCTACCTAACCTAACCCCCCAAAGAAACACTTTCATTAAGACATAGTTTAGCACATTCATTAAGTTGTTTTCACAAAGTTGTTGATTGTTTTTTTTGGTTTTTCTAGATCATTAAATGTAATAATAAAGGTAATTTTCAAGGGACAGTCTGTAGACAAACAGTGCAGCATAAACAGTAATTTGGTTAGAGAAACATATATTATCTAAAAGACTTTAAACATTCAATATCATTTTTGGTTCCCAGAACGTTCTGGGGACGTTATTTTATGATTGTAAAAAGCAAACAAACAAACAAAAAAAACTAAAATGAATGTTTCAGGAACGTTATTATTTGGTTCCCAAATATAACCAAACAGGAACCAAATACTAACGTTAAGGGAATGTTCTGTGTTTGGCTGGTTATGGAAATATACTATAGCTAAAGTGATATATTTACAATATTAGCAGTCTTTGTCGACCTTTGTTTCGTCCGAAAAAGATGGTAAAGCACATAGTCTTATAGTTACCTCTATAGTCTTATAGTTACTTTATAGTATATGCTTCTGACTAATGTTTATCATTATTATAAAATGTTTACAATCCTGTTAAAACCTACAGACTGAGAAAATGGCTTTGAAACAATTTTCACTTAGACATTGATAGTAAATTTCATAAAGAAACGACAAGTAACACATTGCATTAAACATGACTGAAAAGACTGAAACTGTAGCTATTTTCTTGTAAAACGCACTCCTGTAAACTTTATTTACAGCTTCGAAAAATCATTTTGTTATAGCTACACTACCAGTCAAAAGTTTTTGAACAGAAATAGTTTTAATGTGTTCTCTTCTGCTCACCAAGCCTACATTTATTTGATCCAAAATACAGAAAAATCAGCAATATTGTGAAATAGTTTTACAGTTTAAAATAATTGCTTTCTATTTGAATATATTTTAAATTGTGATTTATTCCTGTGATCAAACCTACATTTTCAGCATCATTACTCAACTGTTCAGTGTCACATGATCCTTCAGAAATCATTCTAATATGCTGATTTGCTGTTCAAGAAACATAGTAAAAACATTTCAGAATTTTACTGTTTTTGCTGTACTTTGGATCAAATAAATACAGGCTTGGTGCACAGAAGAGAATTCTTTAAAAAAACATAAAAAATCTGACAAAATCTGTTCAAAAACTTTTGACTAGTAGTGTACTTGCATTAAAATATAGCTATCCGTGTACTTCTAACGAAGACCTAAATTGCTAAGAGGCCTACGAGTTTGGTTAAAAAACTGAATGATAGCTTGGATCATTTCGATTTGCTGTTACTTTGAATAGGTGGACCGTCTTTCTCCTCGAGTTTTACAGTCCAGTAAAACATGCAGCACGAAACTGCATCCACCGTCAGATGGCGCTGTAGTTCTGAGAAACCGCTGGAGGTGTGACAGCTGATACTATCTGAAAATCTGTAAATGCCACGGCTGGAGTGTGCGTGAGAGTGGGAGAGCGGACCAGTCCAGTCCGTGTGTCTCTGTGCGTGTGAGCAGTGATCTGCTGTCCTTCATGGGGATCATGTATGGAGATGGAGACCTGCTCGGACGCCCCCGAAGGGACTGCATGTGTTACCTGGGACCACCGACCACCTTGATGCCCATGTAAGCATTTTAAAAAGCACCTATGCATGAGTAGAATAGCCTACGTGCTGTGTTGTTTACTCAGCGTCACTTTTGAGTCGTGACAGATGTAGTAGCTGTCTTTCTATTCAGGGATTGAGAAAAAAATTAAGCTTCTAAAACAAAGCCCGGTTAGAGTCAGTCGTGATGACAGTGATAAAAAAAAAAAAAAAACTAAATACAGAGCTCTGAGCTCATTACGCACAAGTCTATAAATGGTGCTGTAAGTCTGATGCGCATCTGGGTATTCTTAACGATTTCTATTCATTACAACAGGGCGGATATTACAGTTCACAGTTATTTGAAAGTTAATGGTATTTAATAGTATATAGATATTAAATACTATTACTTTGAGACTATGTAATGCCAGTTTCCTTGCATGCGCATTCTGATGCTAAAACGTAAGAAAGGATTGGGGGGGCAAACACTTTAAAAGTACTAACAATATTAAACTGCAAAATAAAGTTAGATTGTTAACACGGCATTTGTGAGAAGCACCAACAGTGGCGTTAATTGTTCCACATGTGAAAGGAGCGTCAGTGGAGTTGGTGCGTAAAGCTGAATCGCGCACGCCTCCCTGTGGCCAAATAGACTGCAGCATAAGAAACTACCCTAACTAAAATCTGCCATATGCTGTCAAGTCCTTTTTTTCATTTGTAAAAGCAAATTCACTAAGTTCTTATCTATCATATTGCGACTGTAACTGCCAGACCCATCGAAGATCATGAACTGATAACCGTGGTCCAAAAACAGCTTCTGCTTTGTTTGTTTGTTTGTTTATTTATTTATTCCTACCCAACATGTTATGTTACATATTTGAATTAAAACTCGTAATATAGTGTGTGTGTGTGTGTGGGGGGGGGGGGGGGGGGGGGTGGTATTTTTTATTCTACCGCGAAATTATGTTTCGATGAATGATTTTAGTTTTGTTGTTATTACGTGATTACCCAATCGTTATTATCACTGTTATTTTCAGTAGCCTATTATTAATTTAATTTAAGAAAGGCTCTACACTGAGGGGAAAAAATGGTGTAGGGTTTACTTTAAAACACTTTCACTCAGAAATTGATTGTGAATTAATAAATAATTACGAATAAACGGCAAGTAACACATTGTATTAAAAGAAAGACTAAAATAGTATTGTCTTGTAAAACGTACTCCAATAATTGTTGTTGTTTTACAGATTCAAAAAATATTTTTAGTGCACTAAACATTTATTACATATATGACATTTTATATCAATTGTTTGTGTATTTCACAATTGCATTATCTATACTTTCCATCAAATGGTTCGTGGCCTACTGTGCCAGTATAGAGTTACACTGTACGGAGCAGCAGTCATGTCTGGTTATCATCTCTCAGCCCCTCTGCCTCCTCCGCTCGCAGTGCCAGTGAGTGGAGGGTGAAGATTCGCGAATCCACCCTCGTTACGCACCGAAACAAAGCTGCGCGCTCGGAAGCCGTTTTACGCGGAGTGTTTGTTTGAGAAACACCCTATCCTCTGTTTAAAGAGGTGGACTATCCGAATCCCAATGTAATGAGAAGGTCTGTTCGTGTGCCACGCTCTCACTGGCACACCTCACCGTCGGTGGCAAGCGCTCGAAGCCAACGCGATTCCAACTTTGTGTTCTTGTCTCCAGCGGAATGCGTAAATCCCCCGAGGTGAGTCCCAGAAGGCTGTCCGACATCAGCCCCCAACTCCGCCAGCTCAAGTACCTGGTGGTGGATGAATCAATTAAAGAGGACCTGAAGTCATCTCGATCAGTTGAGGACATCAACAGCGCGTCCATCGAGGAGAGGATCTTGAGAATCACGGGCTATTATGGCTACCAGCCGTGGAATGCCGTTTATAAGAGTAAGCCACTCGTTTTTACTAACGAATTGATTGTGTGGAACAGCTGTGAAACATCAAGGTGTTGAGAGTCTCCCAGAGGAACATGTTATTGCTTAGATGTTCTTTCAGAGCTTAGCAGATGTTTCTCAAAAAAACAGTCTTTTGGAGAAATAAAAACGAGACCATTGTTGAGATGCAAGAATAATCCCGAGCTACAAAATGAATGGCAGTAGATCAGATCATTTGGTCTTGGAAGAAATTGAGAATGTTTGAGTTCATAATGAGATCTCAGATTTTAGCTTGCAGAGTTCAATTTGATAATTGTTGAGATTTCTTTGTATATTTCTGCTTACTAGTCGTTATTATATTGATTGATTTGCACTAACACAGAAGTTGAACTGAATTGAGCTGGGTGATGACCAGTGCTGGGTGTAATGCATTACAGAGTAATTAATTACTGTACTTTCATTACTTTCCCCTTTTAAAAAGTACAGTAAGGGATTACTCTTCATTTTTCTGTACTTTAATTACTTCTGATGCAATTGCATTAAATAGTGTATGGACTACAGATCAATTCTACATAAAACAATAGTGGATTTAATATTAAATTCAATTAAGTTCAATTTATGCAATTTTGTATTATTTATTTGAAAGAAATACACTCCTTGTATTGTTCAACTGGTCGAGGATGATATGGAATATATAATGTAATTAGTATTTAGTAATGCAATATTTTTGAGAGAGTGAGTAATTAGTACAGTAATCTAATTACACTGTTGAAGATGTAATTAGTAGCTAATAATTAATTACTTTTTAGAGTAATTTACCCCATAATAATGATGGCACTGTTGTCATAGAGCTGCTTTATAGCTGAATCTAATTTGTTGATAATTTACAAATTTTGCAACATCAACAGTTATTGATCTGAATTTGAACCAACATTGAACTGACTCAAGCTCAATAATGACACTATTGTCTTCTATAGAGCTGCTTACAGCTGAAAGGACTTTGTTTTATTATTGATGAACTTTACACAGTTATTGAACCGAATCTGAATCAACACTGAACTGACTTCAGGTGAATAATGACACTATTGTCTTTATAGAGCTGCTTTGCAGAGTTTGGAAAAAACAATGTGCTTTGAAACAATATGTATTGTAAAGCTACATAATTAAAAGTGACTTGACTTCTGAAACTTTAGAAGAGGCACATGTGGGTCTTTTTTCAGGAGAAACATCTAAGAAGCCGACGACTTAAACTGAATCTTGATCTATGACAGCACACGATTATATCAGACTGTGGTTTTTGAATTTTGACACTTTCAACTATTTGGCTCATAGGGATTGATTGATTGATTGATTGATCGATTGATTGATTCTGCTGGAGGTGCAGTGAGTTATTGCAAATATTGCATGGAGCACTGAGACATTTGATGATGCCTACATCCCTTAAAATAACAGATCTTTTAAGGACATGGACACAATCTTGGCACAGGTGAGGTGGGTGTTTCTACTTTACAGATATAAAGAAAAGAGTTTCCCGTCCCAATCCTGTTTATCCTCTTTTGTGTGACTGTTCCCTTTAGATAAAGGAGCTGTCTGCATGTTTTGGGACCCACTGTGTGCTCAGAAATAGGCAAAGTAATGCCTGGTGAGGCTGTATTCTGACTCTTATAAAACACCATCCAATTGACCTTTCATTGGGACATAACAAGAAATGCTTTTGTTACACAATACATTGAGATTCTGTATTTAACTTTTCATTATTTGTTCATCATCGCAGGAGTCTTAGCCACAACGAAAAATGTTGTATTTTATATATAATATGTATTTATATATATTATATACACGATTAAACCGTAGATATATTAAAACTGTTTAATAGCTATATCAAACCGTAGATATATTGTTCAAAAATAATACAAAATTATTGCATATACTGCATATAATTTTGATATTGGTTTATTTTTTTATCTAATGAAGTATATTCACATTTTTAAAGTTTGAAAATACTTTTTGGGGCTACTGTACAAATAACTTATAGATGTTATAGGATGTTAAGTTTTGATTGGGTTCCCAAAGGTCACAGGTTCAAGACATAGAAAGAGTGATGCATGAATGGTTCCACTGTCACTATTTTGCCCTTGAGCAAAACACTGAACCATAGTTTGTTCTAGAAAGTCTCTGAAGCAAGTTTACTGTAAGTCACTTTGGATAACATTGCTTAATGCATAATCAGTGTGTATTGAGTAGTACTGCTGTTATTGCTGAATGACAAATTTAGATGCAGAATTCAGAGTCCTCATTCTCTTGTGTGATCCTCAGTTTGCTTCCTGTGTTGTGTATTTACTGCCCAGGCATCCGTGAAATGAGTCCCCTGATTTAAGTGGAAGTGAAATTTGATTGGTAAGAGAGGCTTTCGTACATTGGATGCTGATGAAGAGTCTATTTAGCTTAATAAAGAGGAGATGAAGATCGTGTATATATATGGAAACTCAGGAAAAGTCAAATGTTTGTCATATGTACAGTATAAGTTTGGGGTTGGTTAGATTTTTAAAATGTTTTTGAAAGAAGTCTCTTATGCTCTTTAAATTCTGCATTTATTTGATCAAGAATACAGTCATTGTAATATTGTGAAATTTTATTAGAATTTAAAGGGGTCATATGATGCGATTTAAATTTTTCCTTTCTCTTTGGAGTGTTACAAGCTCTTGGTGCATAAAGAAGATCTGTAAAGTTGCAAAGACTAAAGTCTCAAATCCAAAGAGATATTCTTTATAAAAGTTAAGAGTCAGCCACGCCTACCTAAAACGGCTCGTTCTAACACGCCCCCACATATCTACCTCACTATGTGGGAAGATTTGCATAATGCCGCTCGAATGTTCACGCAAAGAAAGAAGGCGTAACTTTTATTCTCGCTGTAGTATTGTTGTTGCCGCC